CTCATCCTTACATCCTGTACCCCATGTCAGACCCCCATGCTCTGTCCTCACAGCCTGTCCCCCCATGTCCTATCCCCACACCCTATCCTCCCCCGTCCCATCCTTACATCCTGTTCCCCATGTCCTATTCCCCACACCCCATCCTCCCATGTCCTGTCCCCACATCACAACCGTATATCCCGTTTCCCCACACCCCATCCTCACAGCCTGTCCCCCCACGCTCCGCCCCCCCATGTCCTGTCCCCACCTCCATCTTCACACATCCCATCCTCACAGCCTGTCCGGCCACGTTCTCTCGCCCCATGTCCTGTCCCCACACCTCATCCCCCCACGTCCCATCCTTAAATCCTGTCTCCTCACATTCTCTCCCCCAATATCCTGTCCCCACACTTCATCCTCCCACTTCCCGTGCTCACATCCTATCCCCCCACATTCTGTACCCCCATGTCCTTTCCCCACATCCCATCCCGCCACCCTATAATCCCACATTCCATCCCCCTATAACCCATCCCTCCCACATTGCATCCTACATCCCATCCCCCCATGTCCTGTCCCCACATCCCTTCCCCCCATGTCCTGTCCCCACATCCTGTCCCCCACACCGCATCCTCCCACATCCCGTCCCCACTCCCTATCCCCCCATGTCCTGTACCTATATATTCTGTCCCCGCCCATCCCATCTCCACACTCCATCTCACCATTCCCACCCCCGTCCTCACCCTGCTGCCAGGCCCTTTCTAATGGGAATGCAAACACAACATTTGTTAATATTACATTACAGACAGAGCTGCATGAGTTACAACCATGACTGTGGACTTTGTTTATTGCCTTTTTTTAATAGTCTTCAAATATGAAAGAATACTACACTCAGCTCCCTTTTTCATCTTCCCATGGACTGACTTACAAATGTGTTTTTCTCTGTGGATGGTTAATATTTTATATCCCTAACACCAGGGTGTTGAACGAGTGAGAAAAAGTGTTCTGGTTTTTCTGAGTTGAGTTTCTGTTTAAGATGCCGGTTACAGAGAATCCAAATGAACTTTGCAAGTGCCCAGAGGTATTGTTTATTCTTAATTTGTCTAGCGAAATAGACGCAGCCAATGACTAGCCATTTCACAGTCCTTCCATTTATGACTCCACATCCATGGTGACATTCTTCAAGCTGTACCAATATTTCCTCTGTCCTTTTTCAAATTATTCCACCAACATGATCTTAGACTCACTAAGCTAACTCACCTTTCAAGTTGCCATCGACAGTTTAAGCTCATGTAGATCTTGGTTTTTGGACTTTGTTTATTGCCTTTTTTATTTTTAATAATCTTGAAATAATGATCAAGAAAAAACAGGCATAACGAAGTCTTTTTTGGTTCAGAGAAGGCTTCAAGAAACTGTTTTGGTTCAAAAGGTTAAGTTTTGGTATAGGTGCTGCCAAAGCAAACACAAAAACATAAAGTTTTCAAGATGATCTCAGGGCGATAGTTTTAAAGGCTCCACAAAGTCAGTTTCAGTTGAGACTTTGATAGTCTGTTTGCAGTTCTCCTCCTCTTTTGATCTGGGGTTGTCTGTGGGTTCTTTAATCAAACTGGTCATTAATAGTAGCAGGGCACCATCCGTTCCTCCTGCTGTCATGACAGAGGAGGCAGCCATACGTGGATTCCGTTCCAATAGAGGTGATGTTTTTAATAAGTGGAAAAACCAAGCACCGTTTCTGAGGTGGACCCTGAAACGCATTTTCTTGGATCTTAGCATTTCCGATGGTTTGACCGCACAGATCAGTGTCAGCCTATGACTGATGAAGTCTTGCTTGAGGTCATGTAGCAAGTAAAGGGCAGAGTCAGAATTCAATTGCAAATATATCTGAAATTTCTAACATGCTGTTGTTAACTATCTAGGCCCAAGGTAGGGCCTCTAGAGACCGGTCCTTGGAGAAGGACATCATGCTTGGGAGGGTGGAAGGACGGCGCAGGAGGGGAAGGCCCTCTATGAGGTGGACTGATTCAGTGACTGAGATAATTGGAATGGGAGTGTCAGAGACAGTGTGATTGGCACAGGACAGAGCAGAGTTTAGGGCTGTTGTGCATAGGGTCGCTATGAGTCGCAAGCAACTCGATGGCACATAACAACAACAACAACAAGATCTGAAGTGCCCTCCTCTCCAGCCACTGTCCAGGGAAATACAGCTCTTGCCACTAGCTCAGTCCAGAGGGCAAGGGAAGGATCGCCTGACCCCTCAGAGCACGTGCCCACCGGCTTGTGCCTGCCCTCCCAGCCTGGCGGGATCTTTTCACAATCACGGCCTCTCCAGCCTTCACCGTTGACACAGGCGTTTCCTAATGCACTTAGGACGCTGCGCTCGCTTTGGGAGACGTGCCAGCGAGTAGACATCAGATGTGTGGTTTGTCTGTCTCCCATGAATCTTCTGAAGCTCATCGCTGAAAATAGAAATGATTGCTGTCTGTCTCGGCCGTGCTGTAAGCGCGATACCACAAGTGGGTGGTTTTAAAGAATGGAAATGTATGATGTCAGCGTTGACGAGGTTACTGATCCCCACCCAGGACATCTGCTCTGGAGGACGCTTGTGTACGCGCTCGCTCCTGGGCTCTGTCTCTCTCAGGAGGTCCTTGTCTCACGCTCCTCAGCCTCCGTCGCCCCAGCATCCCTCACAGTCTTCACGCGACAGCCGTCACCCCCTTTCTGTGCACGTCTTTGTGTCTACGATGTCTTTGTAAGACATATGCAGGTTTAAGTCCAGCCCCCACGGGTTCTGCTTCTGTAACGTGACATGAGATTCCATCGTGTTAGACCAGGACGGTGTGGTGCCTCACGTGACATCACAGGCATGGAGGCTACGGTTCAAATAGGTCTTTTGTCATTCTGGAAGGCAGTTTGGCACTTCCTAAAAAAGCTGAACACAGAAATTCCTTATGACCCAGCTATCCCACTACTTGGAATATACCCTGAGAATATGAGAACTGAGGCACAGAGATTTGTACATCAGTGTTCATAGCGGCATTATTCACCATTGCAAGGACATGAGAACAGCCCAGATGTCCAACCACAAATCAATGGACTGAGAAATTATAATACATTCACACAATGGAATACTATGCAGCACGCAGGAGCAATGATTTTGTAAATTATTACCTAATTTGGGAGGGACTGGAGAGCATTATGCTGAGTGAACTAACTCAGTCCCACGAGGATAAATATTGTATAAAACCATTCCTGTAGAATGAGGATAAGGATCCCAGAGGGGTGGGAGAGGCTGGAAGCAGAGGGATGAGGATGTGAGGGGGCAAGGGGAGACTAATCACGGTGTTGTATAATTTTATGGGTGGGTAGGATGCAGGAAACTGAAAAAAAAAATCTTAGAAAACAATGTATTCAAATTTTGTAAATAAACTAGTATAAAATTTTAAAATAATTTAGGAAAGCAATAAAGTTTATGAATCAGAAAAAAAAATAGATCTGTTGTAGGGATACGTTTTGGTGCAGGGAGCCTCGGTGGTCCAGATGGCTATGCATTCTGTACTAAGAGGTTGGAGAAGTCACCTAGCAGTTCTGAGGGAGAAAGATCAGTGATCTGGCCCCTTAAAGAGTCGTGGTGGTGGTTGTTGTTGCGTACCATTGAGTAGGAACTAACCCATGGCTGACCCTCCAGCAGGTTTTCAGAGGCTGTAAATCACACTGGAGGAGAGTGTCGATCCTTCTCCCACAAAGCGCCTGGTGGATTCGAACCATATACCTTTGTGCTGTCACCGCAGCCCCTTACCAATAGGCCACCAGAGCTTACAGCCTAGGAGCCCTTCTGAGGCCGTTTGACCCTGTTACATGGGGTCATGATGAGTCTGAACCGGCCCGGCAGCACCAGCAACATCACAGTTCAGTCCATCACCATTGTCCACAAGCCTTTCATCCCCAAATGAACATGAGTGACACTCCAGCATGGACTGTGGTTGTCACTCTGGGATTTCCAGTCAGGAGCCTTTGAGTTGAAAATCAAAATGAAGATCTAGGGGAGCTCTGGTGGCCTAGTGGCAAGAAGCTGCACTGCAATCCCAGAGATATGTGGTTCAAATCCACCAGATGCACTGCCGGAAAAGGAGGGGCAATCTCCTCCTGTACCTGTCACATCTAATTTGATGGTACAGACACACACAAAATAATAAAATTTAAAAAAAAAAAATGAAGATCTCTGGCATTGAGACGGTGCTGACCGCTGGCGGCCCTCCGTGGCCCCCACACGTTTCTGTGACTCTCGTCCTTCCACGGAGTGGCTGTCAGGCCCAAACCTCTGACGTTTCAGTTAGCAGCCCAGCACGTAGCCCACCATGCAACAGGACTCCTCAGTTCATTTACCCACTGCCGTGGAGTCAACTTCAATTCACAGCAAACCTCCGTGGGGTTTCCGAGGCTGTAAGACTTTGCAGGCGCTCACTCACTGTCCACCTACCGAGAAGCCGCTTGTGGACTCAAAGGACAGCCTTTTAGGTAACAGTCCTGTCGGAACATGCCACACCCCAGGGCTCTTTCCCTTCAGATTGTTCTTATTGTTCGAGGCTGTTAGGTCAGCTACAGCTAATAGCCGCCCTGTGAACAGTACAGCCCTGAACCCAGCGCCATCCGCCACCGTCCTAAGCTCCACCGTGCGTAGGTCCATGGTATAGTCACCACGTCAGTCCATCTTATTGAGGGTCTTCCTCTCTTTGCCCCTCTGCCTTTCCCAGCATCTAAAGACTGACCCCTCCTGACAGCGTGCCCACAGTATGTGAGACAAAGTCTCCGCATCCTGGCCTCCCCGAGCACCCTGGCTGCCCTTCCTCTTAAGACCCACTTGTTTGTTCTTTGGGCAGCGTCTCCAGCTCCACAGCCCAAAGGCATCGAATCTCTTCAGTCGTCTTTATTCATTGTCTAACTTTCACATGTGTGTGGAGCAACCGAAAAATACCATGGCTTGAATCAGGGGCACCTTGGTTTTAAAATGTATTCCCTTTGCTCTTTGGGACTTTAAAGAGGTCCTTGACAGTAGGCTTGCCCAATCCAACTCATCTTTGGATTTCTTGACTGCTGCTTCCAGGGTGTTGATTGTGGTTCCAAGAAAGTGAAATCAGTCTTTTCTGCACCCTCACAATCTTATCTCCCTCCCTGGGGTCCTTCCACCTCCTCAAGGGATAAAGAACCTTGGCAAGTTAACCATTTGTAAAACGTGATCTCTTCCCCACACCCACCGTGTGTCATTGGTGTCTTGTCCTTGGATATGATTTGATCTTATTCCATTTCCTCTATTTCTATTTTAGGAACAGTCAGAAGCGACCGGAACAGATGACGAGTGACCACCGCTGGGGGACCCTCCTTCCCTGGTAGAACTGACCCCGCCTCTCCTCCCCTCCCCTCCCCCATTTCGACCCAGTGAGTGCATTTTGTCCTACGGTCACTGGGCCATTTCTATATTATCATCATCTTAAAACTAGCTTTAGAATAGTGCCAGACGAACATATGATATCATGGTGTAAAAAAAAAAAAAAATACGCACGCACGCACACATGCAAATATTTGTAACATATTGTGACCAAATGGGCCTCAAAGATTCAAAGATTAAAACCAACAAACAAAATGGGAAAAAAAGCTTTTGATGGAAGATATGTGGGTGGATAGTATATTTCTACGGGTTGGGTCTGATTTGGTAATGGTTTGCCTGTGCCTGGTTTCATCACCTGTTCGAGATGAGAAGATGTTTTCTTTTTGTAGCATTGAGAACCAGGAGAAGCCTTGAAGAGCCGCTGGTTATTTTATTTTTCATCAGGCAACTCTCAAAGCTTTTATTTGTCCAGTACTTCTGTTTCGTTTTTGGTTTTTTTTTACACCGTGGTACATAGATGCGACTGTACTAGGTGATTCACTGTACAGTTAGTTAGGTGTCACCTGCATATACCTTTATATATTTTTTTTTTCATTTTTGCTCTCTGAGAAAGAAATGCTTTTGAATTGTAAACGATATACGATGTATGTCTATTGTAAACATTGCTTCCTCTTTTTTTTTCTCTTGTATTAAAGAAAACGTTTTGTTGACCACACTGTTGAACATTGCTCTCTCTCTAGTGTGTTGGATGGCCTCCTGTGTCCACCCACCTCCTTTGTGAGCTCCGTGTATTGTCTCCTTCTCCCTAAAGTGTACTTAATCTTTGCTTTCTTTGCACAATGTCTTTGATTGCAAGTCATAAGCCTGAGGAAATAAAATTCCAGTAATTTCCAAGAATGTGGTGTTGGTGCTTTTCTAATAAAGAAACAGTTTCACTCAAGAAATGTCGCCTTTCGTTTTTGAGCCATAGAGTGTGGGGGCTTTCATACGTGCGTGATGGATACAGCAGAGAGCTGAGCTCTTGGCTAGAGCACCTCGTGCTGGAGATATCATCAAGGTGGATACAACTCACAGCAAACCAGCATTGTTCTTGTTAGATGCTGTCAGGTCGACTGGGACCTTATAAACAACAGATTTGAACCTTTCCCTACCCTGTACCATCCTCCTGATCTCCGTCCTGCTCTTTGCAGGAGTCAGTATGTCTGTCCATCACGTTTGAGGGGCTTCCTCTCTTTTTCTGACCGCCCCCCCTTTCCCAGCATCAGTCTCTCTACCAGGACTGGTTACTCCTGACAATATGCCCACAGTAAGGAAACCCGCTCACAAGAGGGAAAGCCGTGCACAGCACTGTCTGAGCTGTGTGATGCTTGGGCCTGTTGTCCTGGGCACTGTGTCAACCCTTCTCATTGAGTCTTCCTCTCTTTCTCTCTCTCGTTGACCTCTACTTTTCCAAGCATGCTACCATTCTCGAAGGACCTGCCCCCTCCTGACCACATACCTGAACTGCGTGAGACAAGAGTTGCCATCGACACTTCTGAAGGGATGTTCTGACTGTGGGTTCTGGCAGTCATGATTAATTCAGGGCCTGAGCTGTAGGGCCAGGCTTTCTCTCTGTCAGTCCATCGGTCACGAGGAAGGTCCTCTGTTCAGTATCTGTGAGCCCAGTGTTCCTTGCAGGTCCCCCTGCTGTCTTGGTGTCAAGTCTTCCCTGGGTCTAGGAGGTTCCTGTCCCAAGGGCCCTGAGTGCATAGAACGTCCTTCATTCCTGGTCCACTGTGGAAGGTCCCTCCTCTACTCTCTTGTTAAATCATGTTTATATCAATTGAATGGCAGTGAGTTAAATACAGTCTCCCATAAAGTCAGTAACTGGTTTCCACTGCTTTACATTCCAGTTTTCAGCTCATGTCTCTCCTTTGAAGATCTTCCTTCAGAACGTACCTTGGACTTCACATGTCAAGTGCTGTACTCAGGGTTGAGGATTATCCACTTCCTGAGACGCTCTAAGAGGTGGATTGATTCAGTGACTGGGATATAGGGGTGGGTGTTTAGGAGACAGTGCGATTGGCACAGGACAGAGCAGAGTTTAGGCTGTTGTACATAGGGTCGCTATGAGCTGCAAGTGACTCGACGGCATGTAACATTCACATCTTTTGTACATAAGCATGGCGCTCCTCACGCTCACCCTCCCACCACCCATCTCCCTGAAGAATACTTTACTCAAGTCAGACCTGCAGAGCATGCTGGAAAGGCAGACCAAACACAGCACAGTTATCTGCCCTCAGTTCCCGTGAAGATGAAGAATCACAAGGTGGAGTTGGCTCAAAGACCAGTAAGCGGGCTCAGCACATATGTTCTAACCGACCTCAGGTGTCAGGCACCTTTCCACTCCAGCACAGCAGAACAAATATGGCGATAGAGTGAGCCACGTGCTTGTTGGCTTCCCAGCTCTGGTGGTGCCCATGAGAAGCTGACTCAAACGTGGCACTTCTCTGCCCGTTTGCATCCACCAGTGACTCAGGGAGACAGATGGGCAGTCTCCGCCAGAGGCCCAGGCATGAGTGAGTGCCTGTGGGTATTATATTCCTGTAATCTGTAATCCTGTACAGTAGTAGTCTGACAAAGTTTGGAATGTTGAGAATGATCAAAAATGCGGACTCAGGCTCACAAAGTGAACCTCTGCTGTGGTGTCAATAGACTTGGTATCTACCAGCACTGCCACAAACCTTCAATTTGTAAAAACCACAGCATCTTAGAAGCAAAGAACAATAAAACAAGGTCTGTCTATCCATCATCAGAGAATACCAGTGAATGATCCCATTAGATCAGTAAGAACACACCAAGCAGGCATCTCGATTTTTATTATTATTAATTTTAAAGAAAGTTTACAGAGACTTAGGGTTTCCAGTCATTCATTGTTGCACTTTTCTCCCTGCCCACCCCCTCCCACCAATTCATTCTTCTTGAAAAGAAAAAGAAAAACTCATTGTTGTGCAAGCCCTCCCCCCAAGTCCACACCACTATGCAGCCTTCACTCTGGACTCCTGTAATGACAAGAATACCCACTCATATATCCCCTTTAAACAGTTCTCTCCCTCATCTGTTTCAATGCAGTGTACATTATTTATCCCCTCTTTCTCAATCTCCCTCAACCCTGATATCAGTCCTGTTTTATAACAGTGACACTATGCTATATTTGTCTTTTTGTGGCTGAGATATTTCACTCAGCATAATGTCCTCCAGGGTCATCCATTTTGCATAATATTTCATGAGTTCCTTGTTTTTCAGTGCTGCATAGTATTCCATTGTGTGAATATACCACAGCTCTCTATCCATTTCTTTGTGGATGGGCACTTGGGTTGTTTCCAACTCTTTGCTATTGTGAACAGAGCTGCGATAAACATGGGTGTGCATATATCTGCTTGGGTGGCAGTTATGGTTTCTTTAGGGTAAATTCACAATCACCTGTTATGCATCAGAGAGTTGGACAATGACCAAGGAGAATAGAAGGAGAATTGATGCCTTTGAGCTGTGGTGCTGGAGAAGAGTATTGAGAATACCATGGACTGCTAGGAAAACAAACAGATTTGTCCTGGAAAGGGTTAAACCGGGTGGCTCCTTGGAGGCAAGGATTCTGGGCTCCATCTAACATACTTTGGACATGTTGTGAGGAGAGACCGGTCCTTGGAGAGGGACATCATGCTTGGGAGGGTGGAGGGACAGCACAGGAGGGGAAGGCCCTCTATGAGGTGGATTGATTCAGTGACTGGGATAATTGGGATGGGAGTGTCAGAGACAGTGTGATTGGCACAGGACAGAGCGGAGTTTAGGGCTGTTGTACATAGGGTCGCTATGAGTCGCAGGTGACTCGACGGCACATAACAACAACAACAACAAATTCCCAGTAGTGGAATCAAGCAGGCATCTCTTAGCAGCTCATGCTGTGTGCCCCTCACGGTGACGTTTGCAAGGTCATCCGCAGAGGTCCTGCAGGATGGGGTGGAATCCGAGCTCTTCCATGCACAAGTTCATCAGTTCTAAGGGGTGAGGTGTTGCACTGACAACCTAAAGACATGGTTCTTTGTGGGAGAAGGCTCGGCACTTTCCTCCGGTGTGATTTACAGCCTCTCAAAACCCACTGGAGGCTCAGCGATGAGCAGCTTCGACTTGATGGTGCGTGAAGACCCATATAGTTTTGCATCTTTGGAAGATAACGTCGACGTCTTTGAAATGATGACTTGTCCCACCGTTTTCATCAGTGGTGGCTGGGGTGGTCAAGTCAGCGCCAACCCCTGGGGACCTTCTGTGCAACAGGGTGAGACGTTGCCAGGCCCCCCACTGTCCTCATGGTAGGTGCCTCTGCATCCATCTAAGATGCCCATCCTGAGGGAGATTTCCCTCATTCCCACCAGTGACCCCCTCCCCCCACGCATGGTGTCCTTTCCTGGTGATTAGCTTTTCCTAATGACGTGCCCCAGGTAAGCAGGGTCAAGTCCCGCCATCCTCAATGCCTGAGCATCATTTTGGCTGCATTGTTGCTAATACAAGTCCATATACATGGTGCTTAAAATAATAAGGCTTTTAAAATATGTCACGTCTAGTTAGGTACCATTGAATCAGGACCCACTCATAGCTGACCCCCAGTGAATGTTCAGAGGCTGTAAACTGCACGGGAGGAGATTGCCCATCTTTCTCCCTTGGAGAAGCTAGTGGATTTGAACTGCTTGCCTTTGGATTGGCAGCACAGTTCCTTATCATGAAGCCACCAGAGCTCCGATAGCATCTTAGAGGTCAATAAATGTTATTTACACCTTAGAGGATGTTTCTTCCTTTTATAGCACATGCATGACTTGACACCTTCCTTTTCCCCTTTACCTGGTGATTCCTCTCAGTGCCCAAGGAGCTGCCTCGCTCTTCCAACCAGGGCATGGATCCCAGTGTGCTCAGACCCTCCCGCATTGATGGGCCTTTTGATTT